TTCAGTGGGATCGCCACGGAGCTACCTGGGAGGAAGAGTCGGACATTCGCGCTCGTTTCCCAGACTTTCAGTTTTGATGTACATATTTCTGTATCTTATGTACATAGTTCATGTATAACAGTCATGTTTTGAATTTCCGAGGACGGAAATTTTGTAAGGAGGAAGGATTGTAATATCCCGATATTTTATCGGTATAAATTACGTTTTAGTTCCGATATAATAACGTTATCGTTTATTATTTTCGGAATTAATTATATTCAGTCGGGATTACCGAAATATATTTTCGACGTACCGTTTACGTTCGAAATAATTTTGGTAATTAAGTATTATGTTTAATTAATAATTAAACATAAAGTTAGTGGTTAATTGTGGAATTAATCACATTTAAGTGATTAAAGTCGTGAGCTTAGCATTAATTTTGATTAATGTTATTCTTAAGCCTATTAGCCGTGCACTTAACAATTTTGCCCAAGAAATTCACAAAATGCCGTGAAGTTCCTTCTTGATGGGGAAACCAAATTTTTCCTCTTTTTGGTGCATGAGACGTGGCAACTCATGAAGTGCCCTAGTCATCCCAAATTATGCTAGTAGCTTAGCAAGTGTTAAGATATAAATCGTCCACATCGACCCCTCGTCATTCCATTACTCCATCGGCCATCTATATATAAGCTTGTACTTGAGCAAAATTTTCCCCTTTTCTTAAGACACTCACAGCATAGTATATCTCTTACCTCAGCAGCTTTTAAGAAGTAAGCCAATTCTCTTAAAATTTCCTTAACAATTCTCCACAATCACACGGCTAGTGAAGGTACCGCTCGGCCACGCAAGGGAAAAGGACGCACGCTTTGTTTCCGAGTTCCGTCGAGCGATCAGTGAGGTAAACTCCTCTTCAGTTTATAACCCTGTTAATTAAGTTATCTCAAGGTTAAGTGTTCGGTGAATTGTCGGAAATTCAGATTAAACCGTGCATATAGGCGAGCATGTTCAATTAAGATGATGACCGAACAATCCTTGATTTCTCTCAGCAACTCCCGAACCATGGTTACTTAAATGTTCAGTTTAGAGCTTCGGGCCGAGGGCTGTTGCCTTCAATTCTAATCATGTTGTCCGTGTGAGTAGTCCTTAAAATTGTTCATATTAATGTTCATATTGAGTTGTTCTGAAGTTGTCGGTTAATAAACTATTTCGGCCGAGAGGCGGCACATAGCCGTCGGCAGCGCACGGGAGTTCGCCGCGGCCTTTCATGTTCAATATGTGTTTGCTGAACCTTCAGGTCATATTTAATGTATATGTTCTTGTGAGACATGTTAAGTTCAGTTAGGTTCAGAGTTGGTCAAGAATCTTGTGAAATGGCCGAGGGATGGCCGAAGGCCGTGGGCATCGCACGTAGCGAGCGCCACGGCCGAGCGTTAGATCCAATCTTCAAAGTTCAGCCATTGCATGATAAATTCAGTTGTTGCTCATAAATAGTCAGAACATATTAATATGAGTCAGTTTGGTCGGATAAATTCGCTGGACGGTCGGCAAGGA